GGGGGGGGGCGGTTGAAATTAAAGTAGAACGTAGAACAGACAGAAGTGAGCGAGACGTGTCGGTTGTAGAATGTTTAATGTGTTCACTAAAGTACAGTAGGCTATGTAATATTATGGAGATTGCGATTGAGGGTGTCGGCCAGAAATAGAGAAATGCTCGAGTGTGTGGGCAGGCGAGAAAGGGGAATCCGGGTCATGTCGAAAGCTTTACTTACCCTTCGACCCTTCTCATTGGCTGTTGACGGGCGTACCTCTTCTCCTTCAGGCGGTGTGACGATACAACTGGGAGGTATGCACCGCCTCCGCCATTCCTCCCCCTCCCCTGCCCGACAGCTAACTTTTCGCTTGCCTATACCACACCACTTGAGTCGCCTCTCTCGTCGCTGGGCCCGATGTCATGCGATTTTTTTGGAACTGGACAAACACCCATTTCCAGGCGCACCGGATTTTCTGATACACCACTTTGCGATTAACCGGTTCAAGGTAAGTTTTCGTTAGTTTGGGTTAATAGTTATAGAAAATAAAACTAGCTATGGAAAAATACGAAATTTGCCATCTTTATTTATTTATGTTATGCCGAATTTCAGTGTAAAAGTTTTGTCAAAGCATGGTCCTTCATTTGGACCTCTCGTATATAATATGCCTGTTTTCATCGAAAAAAAAAGAACAGTTCAAAAACGAAACAATTTGGGACAGAAAAAGTATTTCTTTAGAGTCTATATAAAAAGGTGCTCTTGCTGTCTTTATGATTTTCTCAACGGTTCAGCTGCGCTGACTGAAAGAGTCGCTTTAGTTCCATGGGATGTCTGAAAGACGCGTTTTGTGTAAATGGACAATTTGTATTATTATTCTGGATCTGCAGATCTTAGTGAGTGACGAGTTTCGGCGAGTGAACCGAATATCCGTATTTGTTACTCGGATTTTACCCCCCGTCCTGTACGATTTGCACCTGAACGCTCGTAGCGCAGGCCCGTGTGAAAAGGCTTTGACGTCCTCGCCTCAGAGCCCAGACCGCCTCTGTCGGACATACATCGTTTCTTTCCTGTTAGGCTAGATCTAGATCTCTACCTGTGGAGTTAACAACTTCCATCTAGACTTTGTACTGCTGTCTCTGTAGATGTACACACAACAGGCGTTGTATTTCGTACCAAGTCACACTGGTGTGAAAAAAGCCTTTAGTTCTCTGTTCGAGACACGACTCACCGTAAGAAGTTAAAAGTGGATCTTGTCCAGCAAGGATCTGTTACGTCCAATCTTCTCCGTCTTCAATATTGAGAGGGTTGTGCTTCGTCGTCGTGATTAGAGGACTTTTAACGTTCCTTCGGTGAGTTTTTGTCAATAGTAACTTCTACAATCTTAGTATATGTTATGGTAACGTAACCATCCCCCCCCCCTTTTTTCCCCCCAATAATATCGTTTAGTAGAAAATAATGTAAAAACAAAAAGGTGTGCCTTTTGTAGTCTTGGGCCTCCCTCTAGCACTAGATCTATGTCTACCCACAAAACCTTGAACTGAACCCTGTTGCTTTTAGATTATTTTTTACGCCAGTAGGCCTCCTATATTAAAAAGCCGACACTACTGGGGAGGCATTTGAGAAGGCGAAATTGGCCTAGAGCAATTAAAATCATAGTATTGCTTGTCTTGCTTATGTTACGGGAAAGATTAGCCTAGTGTGGTTAAGAAGTAGCTTTCGCTTTCGTTGACGAAGTTCACTTTCGTCTGTTCTCGATTTAGATTTACTGAAAGTAGTATTGACACCTGGGGTCCTAAAAGACGAACCGTGGCTTCTGATAGAGCTTAAGCCTGAAAAATAATTTACAACTGATGCAATATTGTTCCAAAAGAAGGTAATACATGTATATACAGATTTGAATGGCATACGTTTAACTCTAATGCTTGTGATAGGTGTGTTGTGCGGTCGAGGATGAGGTTTTTGCATTGAGTCCTCATACTGTTGACGAACTGAAGGAATTCCCGTTCTGAGAATTTTAAAGTATTGGTTTGTGTGTGTTGGCCTGTCACAGAGCCGATCTCCAGCTCCAGGAATGTATAGATACATGTTAAATGAAGACATCGGGCCTACCAAACAATTTGAACATAACCGCATCTCTGTTTTAACCCTGTTTTGCCCTTAACGTACTTAACACCCCCCCCAAAAAAAAACAACAAACAAACAACAACCCAACCCACCAACAACAACAACCCACCAAACAAACAGACAAACAACGGAACAAGCAAAACAAACAAACAAAAATATTAAATTTAATTAAAATATA